GCAGTTTATAGGGTGTGGGCCTAGGAGTTTCGATTCTTGTCGGCCGGACAAGGCCGCTGCTGATCCGAATGTTCGCTGCTTTCCAGGGCTCACGCCGTTCGAAACGGCATGCGCCTGCTCAGCGATCTCGGCAATGAGGGAGACTGCGTTAGATTAGAAACTGATTTTTTGAAGTTCTGTGAACCTTCATTCCTCTATGAAATGGCATTTACTGTATGTTACTGTCATTGGTGAGTGCGCGTGTATGTATGTATGTATGTATGTATGTATGTATGTATGTATGTATGTATGTATGTATGTATGTATGTATGTATGTATGTATGTATGTATGTATTCATTTATTTGTTTATTCATTTATTTATACATACATATGTGTATCACTCTCTCTCTCTCTCTCCCTATCTGTTGTTTATGGCTTCTTATATTGGTGAGTGTATCTATGGGGCATCCCTTACTGGCAACAAAAGCCCGACTTCATGTTTAAAGATATATAGGCCTTGACACATGCCCCCCCCCCCCCCCCCCGGCCCCTAAAGCCTGAAGCCTGAACCCTAAACCCTGCCCCCCCCCCCCCCCCCCCCCCCCCCCCCCCCCCCCGAACAAAAATCAACACAAAGCAAAACCAAAAAAAAAGTAATTTAACAACAATGGGAAGAATAAAATTAATCAGCAAACAGCATGAATACATGAAAAAATAAAAAAATCAAGACTAAAACACATAAGCGCCAGGAGATGCTTGCTCAGATTCCCTCGACCAGTTTGAAGCGAAGCCTCCATTGGGCGCTCATGTTCCACGGTGGCTCCACCGACACGGTCAGGTTCTTGACCCTTGGATGCTCAGGGTTTAGGGTAACTTAGGGTTTAGGGTTTCGGGTTTCGGGTTTAGGGTTTAGTAACATAAAACCCTAAACTCGAAACCCTCAACCCTCATTCCAAAACCCTCAACTCTCAACCCTCAATGCTCATCCCTAAACCTTTGTTTTCCGTCCGGGCCAGGCTCAGACCCTGTCCCCGGTGGGTCCGAATAGCCCAGAAAGCCTTCCGGGGCTTGGTTTTGGGCCTAAACCCTAAACCTAAACCCTAAACCCCAAACCCTAAACCCGAAACCCCAAACCCGAAACCCTAAACCCTACACCCTAACCCTTGGAGAACCCAGGATCGATGCCAGGGCGAATGTGGATGAGCGCTTCGACGTTTCGGTGAAAGAGCCGACTTGGTGGCTTCTCTTGACAGGTGCCAGTATGAAGCACAGAGCCTTGGGTTAGGGTTCAGGGTTTAGGGTTTAGGGTTTAGGGTTTAGGGTTTAGGGTTTAGGGTTTAGGGTTTAGGGTTTAGGGCGTAGGGTTTAGGGTTTAGGGTTTAGGGTTTAGGGTTTAGGGTTTAGGGTTTAGGGTTTAGGGCGTAGGGTTTAGGGTTTAGGGTTTGGGGTTTCGGGTTTAGGGTTTAGGGTTTAGGGGGCTTAGCTCACTCAGGAGTGAGCCCATCCAATTTCACTTCCCTGGCCTACCACCGGAGAGGCGCCACACCGTTGATGCGCCCTGGTTGCAGCGTCAAGCGGGGGTTTAGTGTTTAGGGGTTTAGGGGTTTAGGGTTTAGGGTTTAGGGTTGAGCATAGAAGGCCCAAGCCGTGTACGGTTTGATCACTATGGCTAGGACGATCAGTTGCGCCCTTATCCGGGCCCATTCCGCCTTTTAGGGTTAGGGTTCCTCAGAAACAAGCCTAAATCCTAGCCCTAAGGCTTTATTTTCGGGTTTTGGGACCCAAAGGCCTTCGTTTATAAGGTGTTGGGCTATTGTGAACCTAAGGGTAAGGGCTTTAGCTGGGGAATATAGACCTCGGTTTTCGTCTTCTTGGGTTACGTTTACGCTTCTCATTGCCTTCCCATGCTGTCCGAACGGCTCCTGAGCGCAGGCAAGCTGACTGCATTGAGTGCTAAATACACAAATACATAAGCAATACATACATATATATATATATATATGCTAGGCGAGCAGCGTAGGAGGTCTGGAACTGTATTCCCGGTCGCCTACTTGGAGGTTCATGCGTGCTTCTGAACCATGTTGGGGTACTTAAGGGGCGTATACGTAAAAACCCTAAACCCTAAACCCTAAACCCTAAACCCTAAACCCTAAACCCTAAACCCTAAACCCTAAACCCTAAACCCTAAACCCTAAACCTCTAGTCACAGTTATCAGTCGGGTTACAAGTACCTGAACCTCAAAGTAGATATTCATACCCTTAACGAATTCTGCAGCCCCCGGTCTAGGCACCTTGCTAGGAACCCTAAACCCTCAACCCGATCGAAACCCGAAACCCTCATCCTTACACCCTCACCTAGAGGCTCCTATGTAGTACCATTCTGGGATACTAAACCCTAAACCCTAAACCCTAAACCCTAAACCCTAAACCCTAAACCCTAAACCCTAAACCCTAAACCCTATACTACAATCCCCTCTAACTCACCCAACAAGGAACCACATTGCAGCCTTCAGGGAACCAGGGAGGTTCCCCCCTTCAAGAACCTTAATTGGGCTTCATCATCCCAAAACTCAATTATGGGGGGGGGGAACCTGGGGGTTAGTACAGAGGGGGGTAGTACGCCTAAACCCCAAACCCGAAACCCTAAACCCCAAACCCTAAACCCTAAACCCTCAACCCTAAACCCTCATCACCCCCCCAGGTTCAGCATCCTATCTGGCTACTTCGAAGCCGCCGCGGTGCTGCTTGCAGCGGGTGCGCGCTTCGGCGTGCAGCCGCTTGGCCCACGTAACACCCATAAGGGTTTAGGGTTTAGGGTTTAGGGTTTAGGGTTCAGGGTTCAGGGTTCAGGGTTCAGGGTTTAGGGTTAGTTTGAGCACGCTAAGGTTACGAGGGTCTTTCGATACCCTCAGGCTCTGGGGTCTACTTAATTAAGGGTCTTCGCAGCTCCACCTTAACCGCCAGAAATCCTAAGCCTCCCAGAAGGGGAGAAGCCAGGAACAGTCGCAGAAAGACCGCTGCGGACTTGGCCCGGGACAGTCTTGCGCCATCCTTGCTGCTGACGCGCATGGGCAAGTGAGACCCTAGGGATTGGGGTTCGATGCTTGGGCTTGTAGGTCCAAATCCTGCGCCATCCAAGGCCCGGAACCCTCAACCGCGTGCATTTGCACACCTCTTGAGGCCTTACAAGCCTCCTCTTTCAATGCCTGGTGCTCTTCGTGGCGCCTCTACCTCGGAATTCGAGAAACTTTTGTGCCATTTTTGGTGAGTTTTAAGATGCTGGTGGTGCGCGAAACTGCTTCGTGCCTTCTGCCACCAGCTGTACACACCGTCGTTCCCTAAGGGTCCATGAGCCTATATCGTATATACTTGGGCCTGAAAGTGGTTCCCATATAGTAGCTCTAGGGCCCAAGTATATACTACGATGGGTACATGGACCCTCCTTGGGGGTTCCCACGTCCTGGACTTTGAAGGTTTGAAGGTCGGGGAGCCACTCCTCAACAGCTTGAATTCACATGCAAAGTAGCACGAGACATTGACGGGAACTTGCCAACTCACAGTACATTGTGGGTAGACAGTTGCAGAGCCGTACGTCTTTCAGTGTTACCCTTAGGCTCAAAATAGCCCAAAAAGGCTTACATCTCAAGCCTCCGGGCCCAAAAACCTTAAGCCAGAAGAGTCCTTAGAGCGTTAGGGTTTTGCAAGATGGAGGGCTTGAGGCTTCTGGGTTCGGTCGCGCGCAACGGTCTGCGCATGGCAAGACGCCCGCTTCACTCCGTTGCTGGCTGCAATGAGAACACCATGGGGTCCTTTGCTCAAAGTCCCAAACCCTACAAACCTTTTAGGCCCGAAACCATCCGACGTCTTGGATACCTTTCCCAATCCATGCTCGAAACCAGGCTCCTACCACAGTTCCTGCGCCCGAAAGGTGCAGAAATCTTTTGAAATCAAAGCCGCGAGCCCTGGCAAACCCCTAAACCCTCAACCCTCAACCCTGCGTCCCTACGTACACCCTAGATTGCAAACCCAGAGAAGATTTGGGCAAAGGAGCCCAAGTGCAGTTGTAGTCAGCTGGAGCTTCTGCTGCTCTGGCAGAAAAGCGGAAGACCCTGTGCGGGTTCAGGGTTTGGGCGTGGGGGTTTCGGGTTTAGGGTGTTGGGTTATAGGGGTTAGGGCTAACTAACGTGCCGCAAGTTTGCAGAGGGTGCCAATGCAATCATGCTGCATGCGTAATATGGGGGGCCGGAATGTTTACTAATAATGTTCCCTTATGGTGACTTTATAATTATACTATAATAAACCCCAAAACCCTGTTCGAGTTATTAAGGCTCCTACAGTAAGTGAGTACCGGTAGGGCTTTCAATGTCGCGTTGAAGGTCGTTATTCGGATGAGTTCTGGACAGGTAGAGCTTGCGAGCAATTGGTCTTAGGGTTCAGGGTTTAGGCTCTAGCCAGGGTTTAGGGTTTAGGGTTTAGGGTGTCCAGGAAAGGGTTAGTGTTTATCCACTCCCTAGCCCCCATTGAATGGCAAACATGATTTATATGTTTTTGAAAATCATGTCCATGCTTTGCATGTTCGATGTGTATGGCCTCAAGGTCGCCTGGAAACTTTCCAGAAAGGTCCCCACACGCGGGGGCACAGCTTTCTTAACTTTGGACAGGCACTTGCAGCAGAGTTCTCCCAAAAACATTCCTTCTGAAAAGCCTGTTGTGAACCCTGGCTCATAAGGCGAAAAGCCCAGGAGTCTAGGGTTTCGGGTTCATAAGGATTAGGCTTGCAAAGCCTAGGGCTTAGTGAATCCAACCCCTTGAGCCCACCCTATAATTTCCCTGGCAAAGAGTGTGTCTTTCTGACTGCGCGCGGATTTGAGTACTCGAGTAGGCAGTCTTTAGCATGCTTGGGCCCACAGAACGCCCCTATCGGGGGTTGACCAAATTGTCATTTTTGGAGGGGTGGCACATGTATAGCATATTCCTTGAAGCTTCGTGTACTGTACCAAAACGGCCCATACTGGAGAAGCCTCCTCCCCGACCCCCAATATGATCCCAAAGGTTAGGCTGCGAAACGGGGCTCCCTGGGGCGAAACTGGACAAGTGACCCAGTCTTGATAAGCCCTAAACCCTACATACCCTTTACCCTGAACCCTAAACCCTATACCCTAAACCCTAAACCCGAAACCCTCAACCCGAAACCCTAAACCCTAAACCCCAAACCCTAAACCCTAACCCTGAACCTCTTTGGGAGCCCTGGGGTTCCTCGAGCCCGATGCAAGCATGGCCGGGGTCATGGTCGTCCACCCGCTGTGCCTTCGAGGTGAGGTTTAGGATTTAGGGTTTAGGGTTGAGGGTTGAGGGTTGAGGTTTGAGGGTTTAGGGTTTAGGGTTTAGGGTTTAAATAGAGTCTAGAGTTTAGGGTTTAGGGTTTTGGTTGCAACGCATTTTGGATCTCTACACTGTAGCTTTTTGGTGTGGTTCTAAGATTCCTTTTTCTTTACGTGTGCTTTAAGGAGTGGGGTGTAAACCCTAAACCTTAAGAAACGGTTGCCCCCTTATGCATGAAGCCGAACAGCCATGCTCCTCGGTTGTTTGGGGGCCGGGGGAGGGGGGGTGTGGGGGCCTAAAAAAGTCTATTGGGGTTTAAGGTTTTGTTGAGTTATAGGGCTCATATGTTCAAGGTCTAGGGAGGGCGGCGCCGTTTGAAACAGGAGGCTTCTTTTTCATCCGCGTTGTTTTGCTTGTTGGTTTTGCTCAATGATCAGGATGATGATGATGATGATGATGGTGATGATGATGATGATGGTGATGCTGATGATGACGATGGTGATGGTGATGATGATAGTGATGATGATCACGATCATGACCATGATCATGATGATTATGATGGTCATCATGATGATGACAATGTACCGACGGGTATCTTTGAGGCGAACCTAGTTTAGGACAACTGCCGTATGATGGAGGCTGCCCTCTTCTTCCTTGGGATGTCGCGAGCCGAGGTGAGCCAGGGGGTTCGCTGTGCTTTGAAACTTAGAGGCTTTTGGTTTACTTTAAGAGCCCCAGACCTACCTGTTTTGTAGGTTCCCTGTAAAAGTCCTATATGGGGCTTTATACAACGAACCTACACAAAAAGTAGGTTTTGGGTTCTTAGGGTAGGGTTTGAGGTGCTGAGATTTCGGGCTGGGGTTTGGGTGTAGGCTGATGGGCTTGAAGGGCGTCGTGGTGTGAGGCTTAGGCTTAAGTGTGCGCGTCAACTGGGAAGGTACAAAGAGTTGTATAGACTTAAGGATACTCGGGTTTAGGGCAGTTTGGGGTTTAAGGTTTTAGGGTTTTAGGGTTTAGGGTGTAGGATGTAGGGTTTAGGGTTTAGGGTTTAACAGTGAAAATGCCTTATTTCAAATTCCCTTAGAATGCTTACGTAGTTTAATGTGTTCCTTAATTGCCGGGAACTGGGCTTGCTGCATAGTGAGTTCAGCCCATGGGTTGTTTTGGGGGGTTTCAGGACAAGACCCTAGAAACCCACCTGGGGGTTTCCGAAAATACAGGACCCCTGTTGAAAGACCCCCAAGCCCCGATAAGGTAGCCCTAATATGAAACCCCCGCCTTTCAAAGCCCGAAGCTGTCAAAGGCATGGCCCGCCCGCGGATCCACACTAGCTCGACGTCTCTCGAACGAGAGCTCCAACGAGAGCAACACGACGGCCCCCCCACCGCAAGGGACTCTAGGGTTTAGGGTTTGAGGGTTTGGGTGTTTGAGGGTTTGAGGGTTTTGGGGGGTTTCAGGGTTTGAGGGTTTAGGGTTTAGGATTTGAGGGTGGTTCTTATAAAGGGTTTAGGGTTCAGAGTTTAGGGGGGGGGGGGGGGGGGCTCTTGTTAACTATGCACACTCACACACACACACACAGACTCGTTGTACTCCCGGTATATGGCCTTAATTAGGACTTCCGCACGTCTCATGGAGCAGTAGGAGTGGCAACGGGACCCATGGTGACGGCCGATGCCCCCAACATATACGTTCAGTTTTTGACGTTAAAGCAACCAGTTCCTTTGAAACCCTAAAACAAGAACCGTTAGGATCCCATCACTCCCTACACCCCTATAGTTTGAAGCCCCTACACGGGCCCCCGAGGTTTAGGGTTTAGGGTTTAGGGTTTAGGGTTTAGAGTTTAGGGTTTAGGGTCTAGGGTTTAGGGTTTAGGGGCCCCCGACCGGATGTGGCATGTGGAGTCTGCCCAGGAAGTGTGGTACCTCATCGTAAGTCCTTTGGGTGGAAAAGGTGCCCGAATGTATTCCTGGCAACTAGCTTTTGCTCTGAACCACCCTGACCCAGACCTTTTGGAGGATCCAAAAAGTAGAGACATTCCAAGTAGTACCCTATGGACTAGTACTAGGTAATTCCCTTGAGGCCTTAAGGGGATCTACCCAGAGGCTCCAAAACCCCTTAGTTAAGGAATAGACCTTAAATCATGTTAGGGTTCGTATTATAATTTAAGGGCTATCCCTAAACCCTAAACCCTAAACCCTAAAAACCCTAAACCCTAAAGTCTTTGGGTACTCTAGCAGGATCCTCCCAGCGGGTCTGGGGAGCCACCTCACGCCCAGGCATGCGAAACCTCGGCTGTGGCATGGGTTCCGCTGCAGCCGCGCCAGGACGAATGCATTCCCTGGAGGGTTTAGGGTTTAGGGTTTAGGGTTTAGGGATGTTCCCCCATATGGGTGGTTGTCAAAATGATGGTCCCTTTTGAATCCCTATTATAATGCGGCACCTAATATTTAGGGTAATGTTTAGGGTACTGTACCCCAAAAGGGGTCATAATTTTGACAACCACCCATATCTACACCCCCTCAGAAGCCTAAAGAGCCAAAACACGGAGAGCCGTTCGACACCCCCAGAAATCGTCATACGCCCCCTAGACCCCGAATCCCAACTCAGCCCCAACAGTTGCCCTCTAAACCCTTTCATCCCTGAACTCCTACATCCGAAACCCCGAAACCCCCCGTATGGGTGTTTTCAAGAATACAGGGGGCCAATAATGGAAATCGGAGCCCCTTACGGTTTGAACACCAACACATATGGTACCTC